CACGATCTTGGACATTGGCTACATAGTTCAAAGTCCACGTTTTGTGGACATAAGTGGCGTTTCCATGATCATTTTGCACTCACATAATGTTAGAGCAGCACTAGGAACAGAGTCAGTGCATATGCTGAATTCGCCATATGCCAGTGATATGTTTGATTATATTTTTTCCTCCAATTTTTTTAAGAATTACAGAATGCAAATTTTACATTTCTTGTGGTGGTGTCAATACAGTATAATTTTAATGATATCATATTAATAATATATGTTATTGTGTGTATGTAACATATGTATATATATAAGAGTTTAATAATTTTATAATACGACGAGATTGTTACTTATATCTCGTAATTGACGTAATTATTGGAACGGCAACAATGGACAATATCAAGTACATTTATCATTTACCATTTTCTGAACGATCAGAATTTTGTAAAATTATGAATCAAAACGACAAATGGGAGGAACTGGCAGGTATGTTACTAGACAGTCTCTTGAAAAAGTTGAAAAATATATGCTTGTTTTCAGCTAACCCATTTGTTTATTATTAACCTATTCATCTCATTCACCTGCTTCTATGATTATTTTTTAATATTGCTCCAGTTTCGCTCAGCAATAGTCAATTGTTTTTAACAGAGTATATAATAATTTATGTATATTTATATGTTAAGCTAGTGCTTTTAGTTACATATTAATGTAATGTCAATAGGTATTTGGATGCAATATGATGTCTTAACGATACAAAATTTAAGAAAGGAGAAAAATCCCACAGATGAACTTTTGACGCTTTGGGGCCATTTTAATCATACAATAGCAGAATTGTTTGTATTATTGTCTCGAATGCAGCATTATCAGGCAATGGTGCCTTTATTACCCTTTGTTGAACAGAAATTTCATCGGCTTTTCTACAACGGAGAAGCCAATTTGCAGAACATATTGCCTAAGCAGTTAGTCAACAAAAATACTAAAGATTTAAAAATTGGTACACAAAATTTTAATCAACGTGCACTGCCGCAGCAAAGTGTCAATAAAATTTTTAATCAACCAACGGCACAATTGGGTATTAGTCCAAGCAACTCTAACAATTTACTGGTAGCTTCGCCAGCAGCAGCTGCTGTTTTTTTACCATTTCCACAAAATACTGGTAGCAATGAGAAAAAGATCAATGAATCACCATTACCGAAAACAGAAACTACTTTACCGCAGGCAAGTTATAGTGAACTGGCTATTGCCACAGATGGATGGAATCAGCACAATATATTAGGAAAAGGTGGTTTTGGAATAGTATACAGAGGTATATGTTATCTAATTTACATTAATATGTATAAGTTAACAATTACAAAATTTAAATATATTTTATAATTTATAAATTTTAAATATAACAGATTTAAAGAAGACTTAAGAAAGAGATATGAATTGAATAGTTTTAATTATTAAATAACACCGAATTTTTTTAATGAATATTTATCATACACATTGTAATGGATTTTGTAAAAAAAAAATAGTTTAGCAGAACTAAAAACATTATTTATTTATTAACTTACCTTTGTCTACATATATTATAGGCTTTTGGAAAAATACGGATGTTGCGATAAAGAAAATCCGACAGAAAGGATCTGATTCAGATGAAAGTTACATACTACAGCTCCAACAATCATTGAAAGAAATAAAGATTTTAAATTCTCGTACTCATGAAAATATCTTACCTCTATATGCATATAGTTTTGGTGGCGAAGCACCGTGCTTGATTTATCAATTAATGAAAAACGGATCCTTGGAAGACAGACTGTTATTAAGACAAAAGACTAAACCGTTAACGTGGATGCAAAGACATGAAATTGCTAAAGGGATAGCGCGCGGATTACAATACTTGCATACTATTGGTGACAAACCATTGATTCACGGTGATATTAAGAGCGCAAATATTTTATTGGATAAAAATTTCGAGCCCAGGATTGGCGATTTTGGTTTAGCGCGGGAAGGTCTTGAAAAAGATAGTATGAAGGTAAATAATTAAATGCTAAAAAATATTACAAAACTTTCTTAGATTTTACAATTATTTTAAAATATATATTAAAAGATATATTTAAAAATAATAGGCAAATATTCTTAAAAATTAGTAATACCTAAAGTATATTTTATCAATTTTTTTATTATTGATATGCACAATATAATTGTTAATTATGAATGTTAATAATAACTAATTATAATTATTAGATCAGCAGAATTCATGGTACAAGACCTTACTTACCAGAAGAATTTTTACGTGACAAAAAATTGTCTACAAAGATAGACACTTATAGTTACGGCATAGTCTTATTCGAAATGGCAACTGGTCTTCGGGCTTACGACGATATACGTCCTGAGAAGAAGTTGTTAGTAGATTTAATTGAAGCTTGGAAGGATAAAGACATTTCTTTATTGATAGACAGTAAAGCTGGTGAAGAGAACAAGCAAGTTTACATGAATTTAATATCTATAGGAAAATGGTGTGCTAATGGATTGGCACAAAATCGACCCGAAATGATACTTGTATTTCAGACATTGAATGATTTATGAAATTGAATAGTGTATATTGTAAAGATATCTATCATTGTTATAAAGAACTTAAAGTATAATTATATTTCTATATATATTATACATATGTATATTTGTTATATATTATCAATTTTACTGACCAATTTTAATTTTATAAAATAAAATTCATTAACTTAACTTATTTTATTATATTTTTACCTAAAAATTCAAATAAATGGATTATTGACTAAATAATTAATAAATTATTATGCACTCAGTACAAAGAAAAAATATTTGTATATATATTATGCTTCATGTTTTCCGACTAATTTTGCTTGTTATAAAAGTAAATATTATAATTTTTGTTATATATAGGAAAAAAACAACAAATAAACAAGCTTAATATTAAAGTATAAAAACGGTTGTGCAATAATATTCTTTTTTTAACTAGTACGGAGAGGTCTTAATAGAAATACGTTAAAAATTAAATTGAAGTAATATGAAGACATGAATATAATTAATATGAAGTAATACTGTTTTTTTGTAATGTTATTTCTGGCATAATTCAATATTTGAAATTAAATAAGCAGCAGTTAGTCAATTGCACAAAAAGTTGACATATATTTTAAAAAATAATATAAAATATCTTAGTCATATAGAATAATTTTGTGTAATAATATATTAAATATACTAAATACATTAACTGAGAGTATATATTATTTACAATATTATTATATAATATTATCAACAATATTGTAAATAAGATATTGTCACATATTATGTTCATTATTATTTTTGATGTTAATAAAAAAATTGGTAAGTCAAGAATTTTTTTAATTTAATTTTATTATTTTATTGTCAGAAATTTAATATGTATTTAAATAATCTAAATTTTAAATATATAAAATATCGTACACACAATTGCAACTTGAATCTCAAATGTTTGCATCTTCATCTTTAACTATAGAGTAGAGCGAGCCTTTTTTTATCTATTTCTTGCGATAATTATGTTTCTGAACAGCACATACTGATTATTTAAAAGTTGTACTCTCAAGGAATAATCATGATAGTAATAATAATCATAATGTAATTACAAGCACGTCACTAAAAAGAGATATTGTTTGCTAATGTAAATTTTTATACTGATTTAAAGTTGAAATTAACAGAATAGCCCCGCTCTACTCTAGATAATATAGATATTATTTCACGTTATTAGAGTAATTTTTTAATCGACTATAAAATATAAAAAGTTAAAAATGTAATTACGATAAAAACATTTGAAGTATTCTATCTAAACCTTTCTTGTTTAAATTTAAAGTGTATTTATTTGCAATACTGTATATGCAAAAAAATTTATATATTGAAAATGTACTCACAATATCCACTTATGTGTACATTTAATTATATTGTCTAAATTTTCTTTGCAATAATAATGATTTCACAAATACACACACACACACACACACACATATATATAATATATATACATATACACACAAGTTTCTATCATTGTAGAAAAGTTCTATCGATATTCGCTTCATTTCAAATTAAATTGACAGATCGCGTATCAATGATATGTGTTAAAAAAAAATAAATCTTCACGTTTCCATGCAATGATACGCGATTGCAAATATTCACTATGGCACCTAATTTATATAATCTGTCAAACAATCTGTTTGCGACGCTATCTTCTTGAGCGGCGGTAAAATATTGATGGAACTATATTGGCCGTTATATAAGGGTATCCTTAAATCGGGATTGTCGTTTTTAATCATTTTCTCATGTTGTTGTTGCTGATTGAATATCCATACAATAGATATCAACGATAACACTGACGTCGTCACTCCGATTATACCAAGTAGATAAACGAACACCGTTTGTGCGATCGGTAGTATTCGAAGTACTATTTTCAATAAAATCGTCAGATAAATCGGTAGCGATGTAACAGACTGCAAGGAAGAGATTTATTACTGCATGATTTGTTTAAATTTTAAAATATAAACATAAGTTCATAAATATATATAATCATATACTAGACATATGATATATATTATTAATGTCTTCATTATACTTTTTACAATAGTAAAAACATATGTATATTTTCCTAAAAATATTTTTTTATAAATATATAAGAATTATATTTTATAATACATTCATTAATCGCATTTGTACTGTTATTAAAAGCTATTAATTACGAATACGAAAAGTCTTAAGTCGCAGCACAGACTTTTGCATAACGCATAAAGCAGAAGCGAATCAATCAGAAATCTTCCTTTCCTCTCATTCCACGGAAAAGAAAAATTTTGATTGGTTGATTCTTTTTTATGCATTATGTATTATACGTTATGCAAGAATCTGTACTGCAACCTTTAAAAACATATGTAAAAAATACAGAATATTAAATAAAATTTTACATGCTAAAAAAAATAAGAAAAAAGTATTCTATAAAATTAGTAATTAAAGAAATTTTTTACTTAATATCATGTATAGGATCAAACTAATAATTTTGCAATTATTTTATATATTATTATCGATTCACATATGAAGAAATTAAGTAATAACTTTTTTTTATGAGTACGATGATAATATTATTCCACAAGTTGCCGCTAATTATAAGTACAAAAAAGAAACGAATTAGAGAAAGTCGAGAGATATGTAATTAACATACATATATAGTTTTCACAGGAGATTTTCTAGGTCTATTCAATAAAATTGCTGATTACTTACCATATCAGACCAAAATAAAGGTAACGTTATATCACTAAATGCTGCAATTTTAGAATTGTAACGTAAGCGGTTCATTACAAGATTTGTCTGCATTCTAGAGTGGAAGAACATTGGCATACCGACTGTCTGAAAGGATACGAAAGAAAGATTTTTTTACCTCGCGTTTAAGATTACGCATACTTAAACAAATATTACAAAATCTGAGAATATTAGAATTTCTTAATTTTATTTATGAATAATTTTGCCTTATTTAAAAATAATAATTTTTAAATTGCATATTAGATGGTAACTTCATTTTTTTTTAATAATAAAAATACTTTTTATTAAAATTTATAGTTTGTGGAAACACAAATATTGATCATGCTACACTTTAATTTGTGAAAAAGTTTTCAATAGTGTGTAAAATCTGAAATATATTAAAGGATTAAAGAATTTAATCCTTTCAGAAAAGCTCTTGGTATCGAAAACCTTGATACATACATATATAATTTAATTTTCATGTCATTTTACATAAGGTCTACTCTGTTTCATATCTTAAAACTGTTTCATATGTTAGAACTTCTTGCACGGTCTATTTTTTGTCCTTTTCTCTTTAATATGAAGAGAAAAAGAAGAAAGATGAACCATGCGAGAAGTTCATTCTTGAGATATGAAAAAAAACCAGGTCTTAGACGTTAGATAAGACAGAAATGGTAATAAATAATGAACCACTTTCAAACGTGTTCTTCATAAGCAATTCTAAGAAATTCTTTAACGATTAAATAATCCATACACGTAAGACTTATCTAACTATAATTATACAAGAATATGTAAGTAACTGGTCAGTACCATAAGCCTAGATATACATTGCAACCACATAATATATCTTCAATATTTGCGGTCACTCAACATACATTCTTCGGCAAAGAAAGTTAAACACGAATCTATACGTAATTCTTTATGCTAAACTTATGCTAAACCAATAACGGAAAAAAATTTTATGCATGAATGTATGTATATATATATATATATATATACATAAACATGTATAAACATTTATGACATATTAATAATTATATACTCCTATTAGAGAAACTCATACGATATTTTTTTTATTAATATCATTCTTAAAGAGAATGATGTTTACATATTATGGAAATATTTAAAAAAAACAATGCAAAATTATATTTTTAAATAAGTTTTAATATTAACTAAATTTTAATATTGTTTACCTGTTGAATTATTACGTAAGATTTATGTTTCTCTTGATCAGGGTTAAGACCCTCCACATTTTCCTGTAAACTCGGATCCGCATTGAGGAAATGTGGAAGCGATACAGCCACCGGGATATCTAACCAAAGAAATGAATTATTTATAAAACATGTTATAACAATGCATCGTCTTAGAGTGATTGCATATATCTTCAGGACTTTCAACACTGAGTAAGAAAATATCAAAGCTATGGTAATTTACAGAGGATTCAAGGCAAATGACCCGCAATATTATAGCAAGGCCACAACTGTAAACTCTTATAGGTCTGTATAATAATTACATAGTGGATCTATAATGGATCTATATATCGTGGAACGATTAGAATTACAATTCCGTAAGCACTTGATAACGTATATTCCGTATTTTACCACAATGAATAATATTACACATATACATTTCTGCGAAAAAATTATAGACTCACATAACTTATATCACGCAATATACGTACTTAAATACGGTATTTAAATTTAATTGCATTATGATTTTGGAAAAATATTACAAGGAAAAAGAAAAAAATGTCGTGTAAGCATTTTTTATTTTACCGTCTTTTTAGTTTACAAAATTGATATGACAAACTTACATACTGTAATAACATGGTGTTACGTCCACTAATCCTTTCTTTAGACAGGTCTTCATTTTGCGGCAAAAGCATTCATTGTCCGGATTCTGATCAGGTGGATCGGCAAAATCGTCCGTGAGAGTATAGAGATATCCTGGTAGGCCGTTATCCGTCCAAATTTCTTTCTTGAACACAATTGGTAGCGGTCGACAAAATGCTTTCCTATAAACCTTAAAAACAGCACGCTTGTCCAAGTGCATCGGGAATATAATACCTTCCGTGGTACCTTGAAGCATGTTACAATTTGTATTCCTGAAACGGAAAAAAATATTATTTAGATTACGCGCCATAAACTCATAGAAACAGCATTAAATAAAAGTCTTATTTTATATATTTAATCGAATTTTAATTTATCAATACATCTTAATATTGAGTTAACATAATTTAAATATACATAAAGTAAAATATATTTGAAAATTTATGCAGTCTAACAGTTCTTTAAATCGGTTTTTTAATTCTTTGTACACAATCTTTTCAATTTTTATAAAATTTATTAATTGCAATATTATTAAACATTACTAATATAAAAATTAATCATAAAAAATGAACTAACTTAACTTCTTAAAAATCATTACAATTAAAAAAAAACAATTTTAAAAAATCATCAAAATTACAATTAACTTTTCATGATCTAATTCTTATTAATGATCTAGACAAACTATTAACTTTGAATTATTTGATAAAAAGAAAGAATCGAGACTGCTTTCCTTTAAAAAGATTGTTAATAATAGAATTATCAACAAAGAGATATCTTATCGCGTCATTCATGTTTAATGTAGCAATAAATAAAAAAATGTGTGCCACCAGTTAGAGCTCTAGATTGTAAATGACCCAGTGACCCAATTGAACCGGCGAAGTTGTTTTTTTTTTTTCAATAAGTGAATGATACTTTTTTGCTATTTTTATTTTCATTATGTACAGAATGTGCATTATATATGTATATAAATTCATTACAATTTGTAATATCTAATAAATAAGTTAGATTTAAAACATGATGTGTTTATATATTCTTTTTTCTGATATTCTTTGATTATATGTATATACAATACAATAATTTAATTTTTGTCAAGTTAAAAAATAGTTATGAGCACATTTTTGGTCAATTTTTATTATTAGAGTTTAATTGAAAAAAATTGTTCTCCTTTTATATGCGAAATTTAATTTTTTTAGTTGTATCATTTTTAAAGTATATAAAAAATCGATATATTGTATGTATAATATATAAGATTAAATATTAAATTAGTGTTATTTTTAATTCTTCTAATATTAACTTTAAATTATTATACTAATAATTTTTTATATTTTTTTCTATATATCAGATCAAGCTATAAAAACGATTTTCCTCCGATCATTAAATATAAATCATAACAACTAATATAATCATAACATTATTTGCGTGTGTAGCAGAATTAAATTAAAACGTCACCGTCAGTTATAGTCACATTACTGAAATTTGTTTGTAAAAAAAACATAAATTTATTATTGCGATGAATTGAAGAATACCGAGAAGTTATCAAACAAAGAATTATGGGAATTGTGATATCGCGAAAATAATAGCTTCTATCCAGAGACGCATCTCTAGTATTACTCAGAACAATGTACATATATATTTAATGTTTGCGATGTGTTTTCGTAGTAATTTACGCTTTCAAAGGTGTTTTAATGCATTGTTTGACTTGTTAACAAAAGCTTCTATGAATTATTTTACTCTTAAAGTATCACTTAGCACCTTTTGACAGAGATTAAATAAATACTATATGTTTTCTATGTATTGTATATCTCTCATTATACATGATTTAAGTACCTATTCGACAAAAAATTTTACTCATCCAATAGAATTTTCAAATAGAATTTGTTTAGAGAGATAATGTATTTTTCCGCAATGGAATCATTAAAACTTATAGTCCTTACTCTTCTCGCGTCTCGTTGCCTTCCGTTTCGACCCATCCCCATTGTGCCATACCGGGACTGCCATTGTACTTGTCGATACTGAGATATCGTCCTTTCTCTTCCACCATGTTAGCATTTTTTTGAAGACGCACCGTCACAGTATTATCCCCCTCATCGTACATCTATAAATAACACATACAAACATACGTCAATTTTCACAAATTTATACTAAATATGTCTCACAAGTTTTTATTCATCATAGGCTTTTTAAATAAATTTTTTCTTTCATAAATAATGAATAAATATAATGAAAATAATATCTATCTGTTTAATTTTGTTTTAAATATAATTAATTTTATAATATTGCGTCTAATATTGTATATACAATATTTAAATAACATTAAATCTACACTGCAAGAACAGTTTTACTGAAATATTAAAAAATTTAGTTAAATACAGATTTGTGAAAATAATTGTTTTGGACTATCAAAATAATTATAGAGAACGCTCAAGCACATAATAAGCAATGCTGTAAAAAGTTCTCAGATTTTAGCAACTAGTCTTTGACTGTCTTATATAATTATTTTGATGGTTTGACAAAATTATTTTCAGACTTATATTTAATTAAATTTTTAGTAATACTTTAGCAAAACCGTTTTATTTTTAATATAAATGACACGTTTATATTCATCTGTCCATAATTAATAGAAAAAAATAGAATGTATAATTTATTCGAAGTTGAGAGGCTAACATTCGTTAGTTTATCAATATTAAATTTATAGATATCAGTAACACAATAGATTGTATATTAAAAACTAATGTGATAAGTATTTAACTTTTAAGCAATTAGTAATTACTTTGCATTTTGCATCATTTTTATGAATTAGTCATTTTCGTTTTCAGTATGATGAATCAATTCTGTAAGTAGATATATGCAAAATTTTACTTCGACATAAATATGTAATAATTTTGTTAAATAAACAAATTACTTAAATTACTATTAATGTAATAAAGAAAAGATAGCTGCGGAAATTATGTGTACTCTTTGGTGCTTAAAGTCGTTAACACTAACCTCGTGAACCCTGAAACGTGTGTAAATAGTGAAAGGATCAGCAGCTCGAAATTGCGAAAAGCGACTGCAATTCAAGACACACGGGTCCGCGTCCGCGACACTGTTCCATTTGCTTTCGCGCGCACTGTGCGCATAATCATGATCAGGGTTGTGCCATAGATTATCAAATAATACTATCTGTGTGTGTTACTTGTAATCTCTAAAGGAAGTATAGTAGAAGCGAAAAGATAATTCAGAACTTTAAATTCTTTATATGATGTGTTGATATAAAGGAAGCGCAAATGGAAGTGTGTATTATGGAATTTCCAAAGGGTAATGTTAAAAAAATTAATGTAATAAGAATTAAATAATAAATACAATTCTTCTTAAAAATTTAAATTAGGATAATTCTTCACTAATATTCTTAATTCATCTTTGTGAAAAAATACTATATTGAATTAGTGAAAAACTTATGGGGATAGATTTCAACGGTTTTCCAATTATTCCCAATCATTTTTTTGTAAGTTTAATTAATACATATTTTTCCATAAAGATAATATTACAAAATTATAATATCTAATTCGAAAAATATGTGAATAATGTTATTGAAATCATTTTAATTGAATGTTTTTCATCTGTTGTAAAATTTAATTTAATTTTATATAACAATGATCGTTTTGCATATGCAATCTAATATATATTTACATGTAGCACAGGAAAATAAAAAGAAAGGGGAAAATAAGAAAAGAAAAGAGTGCTTACAGTTGTGAACTAGTAGTTTATTATGCGTAGAGAATGCGTGCGCTTGAGTGATTCGCGTATGACATAAATTTCAGGCAGGATATGTTGAAATTGCAATTTTATCGCTACGAGTAAAACTTTGATCTAATAATTCCACTCAGCAGTTCTGCTGGACCCAGAAATCGGTAATTAAAAATGGTTCTGAAATATCATGCACGACGCGGTTATTTGCGAAGGTCAAGTCATGCACTGAGAAACCGGTTTCTTTTCGTGCCGAAAGCTAAGTGTTTTTGCACTCTTTGATAACACACAGTATGATCACAGACAATCCTTTAATAATTAACCAATGACGTAATGCCAATAATTGAGATTCATCAATAATTATTTTTTTTTATTATTTGCTTCGTTTTATAACATGAGACGAAATAAATTGTTGTAACATAATGTTATAAGAAGACGTACATTTTTCCATTCAAAGGTCGGATATAATGACAAATAGTTGTTGACACATTTTGCACAAGACCGCATTAAGTAGCTATATTTGATATATAGAGAACGTCTGGATTCTAACCAGTTTGCCTACGATTTAGTAATCGCGAATATGCACCGATGTTCGCATAATATAATTAAAATTTATTCCTTCCCCGTTCCAATGGATTTAATTCTACGTCACTGATACATTCGATCATTGGTGATTTTTTTAGTTTTTTTGCCAATTGTGTATAAAAACGGGAAGCTACAACTTTCGCATCTTGTTCTACCAAAGTAAGTCTTGTTTACCTGCCTATAATTAACTATATCAATAAGAATTAAATCATAATAAATTTATTGATTAACCAATGGACTTCAAACTGGTTATTTGATTTAAAATAGTTTTTTTTCCGCTGTTAGATAAGTATATGTCGAAGCGCATTCACCTTTTGAATTTCTAGAAATTCTAAAGCTTGAAAAACACTAATAATTGATACCCGAAAAGATTGAACAATATAATAAAAATCAACTTTGTATATATTGCTCGCACAGATAAATTTAAATGGATAGGAAAAAAAATAAATTGTGAGGAGTCATTTCTTAATGTTACAAATGAATATAATTTAGGTATAAATAAGGATTAAACAAAATTTTGTATTCTACTTATTCTTATGCTATTTTTTTATGTAGAAAATACTTGGAATATGTGCTTATACATACACACATATATATATGTGTGTATATATATTATATATATATATATATATATATATGAATAAAGTTATTTAGCTGTAAAATATATATATATATATATATATATATATATATATATGCTTACGCAGAGAAAAATGTTTGAGTAAATAAACGGAAAGATCAAACTAGAATAGCATTTTAATGAAATCACAAATACGAATTTCTGGTTATAATAACTAGAAAAGGATTATAATAATTAGAAATTCTGTTTAGCCTCACCACACACGCACACACACACACGCACACACATACACAAACACACACGCACGCACACAAAATGCCATTCTGGTTAGATACTTTTGATGGTATAACTAGAACATTTTTTTTTATATATAAATTTACTCACATCTCACACATACAGATAAAGTAATAAAGGAAAAATTGAAATGATGTTTTTATTCGTGAATTTAAACCTTAGCCTATTAATAATGGACATTTTATTAAACGTGTCTACTTTTTTTAATTACAATTTACTAAAGAAGTATACTAAAGAAATAGGTATAAATATCTATAATTTTATCGTAAGTATATATAATTATTGTAAGTATATATAATATTTATATAAACTTATAATATTATATTGTAAGTTCAAGACCAAGTTGAAGTATGAAGTAATATTGATTATTAAGTATTTAAATTGATAAATATAAATGTTTGCACGCGTTTTCAATGATTATAAAATAATTTTTTATAATACTATTCATTTTAGTGCTTTGTTTTTGTATAAGAATTGATTTTACTCACCCTGTCCAAGAGACCGAATTTTACAAAGTTGATAAAATTTGGCACGATTCCACTGGCCAATTTTACCAATGAATCCTCGTAGCCCCATAGATACTCGTATACCGAGATATTAAGAATCGGTTTTGTATTCATTAAAGTAGCCAATTGTACTATAGGATAATTTACTATAAATCCTGCATCACTCAAAGCGGATGAAACACCCTGCGTTAGAATATTTTTGCGTAAAGTTCATTTTATAAAATTATTCTAAATAATTTTAAATGTTAAATATTCAATTAATCGCAGAATTAAAAGACTAATATTTCTTTCTATAAAAATAATATTTGAAGCTCTTAAATACAGTGTTTTATCTTTCAGGTTTCTCTGCTAAAGGAACACAACTTTTTATATATCTCAAGATCATGATCTTTTTGTCATTTTTTGTATATTGAACAAAGATCATAGTTTTAATAATAGTGCAGACAAATACATTTCTTAGAACAATATTAATAATGTATAATTAATGGAAAAATTATACATGAGATGTTTTCGATAATTGTTATTCGACAGACTTAATGAATAATCTACTAACATAAAATGATGCAGAAGTCATGCCGACATACATATAAACTAATAGTCTAAACTGGAAAAACAAAATATTATTTTAATTTTGATCGCAATAATTGATTAATAAAACTTAATTTTTATTATTATACATGAAAATATTACACATTTCATCAATCTAACCACAAATAGATAATAAGTTCCTCAAAATATTGCATAAAAGCTTCAATATTCTAAAATTGTCAAGAATAGAAATTATACATAAATAATAATTTCTATAATATTTGAATTATGTTGATCAGATTTTTTAACAGGTGCATAAATTTAACGAAAGGACAGATCTTTTTTATACTTTGCTTTAAAATAGATTACATCGCTTTTATAGTAACTTTTTCACGAATATGTGTGTGTATAGTTTACTTTCATTCATATAAATAAATGTTTTTTTATCAAGAAGAGAAATATCTTTAAAGAAAGGAACCTTGAAAATTTTTTCAACAAGGAACATTCACTGCATGGAAAATGATATAAACATACATATATGATATACAGGAGCGCCAACTTTTGCGGGGAGTGTGTATAGTACTCCACACGCCAGAATTTTTTATGTGTGGAATTCCACATATGAACTATTTTTTGAAAATAACTGGTATTGAGTAAAAATAGAAAAATTTTTTTGAAACTTTGTAACATCTCTCGGAGACGTTATTACGATTCTTCAAAAAGATAAATCAGTGAGAGACTTAGTTTCAGAGTACACAAAACTAATTAAAATATTATTAACAATATCGGTGACGACGTGTACTGTAGAACGTTCTTTCTCTGCCTTGAGAACATTGAAACGTATTTACGTTCTGCGATGCTGCAAGTTCGTTTGAATTCAATAACTGTATTGCACATGCACTCCGATATTGCTGAGACTTTAAATATTGAAAATAATAATTAATACGAGGTGAAGGACAATGAGAGTCAATTCGTAAGTAAACAAGAAAGCGATTATAACATAAAAATTATAATGTGAATTTTCAAAGAAAAAGAATACAATAAAAATACTTAGCTGCTTCAGACACAATTAAAAATTAGAATATCGGTCAATATATAATAGTATAAAAAATCGCTCGATGTAAAATGTCGTAACAAGTTTCGACTCTTGGTTATTGTATTCTTTTTCTTTGAAAATTCATATTATAATTTTTATGTTATAATCGCTTTCTTGTTTACTTACGAATTGACTCTCATTCTCCTTCACCTCGTATTAATTATTATTTTCATATAAAGAGTCCTTCAACTTTAATTTTATTTAGATATTGAAGCACTTATGGATGAATTCGTTGTAAGAAATAAGAATTGAAGCTCAACGTTTGCTCTAAATGATTCACGAACTTAAATATATTTCTAAGAATAATATATTGATATATAAATGTATACTCTATTAATATATTAATTATATGCTCTAAATCTAAATGGTTCACGAAGTTAAATATATTTCTAAGAATAAAGTATTAATATATATATTAGGGTGGTCTAAAAAAACTTATAACGAAAATTTCCCACTCCTACCCCTGAAAATGGCTAATCGGTAAGTTGGCGCCCTTGCATATATAACTTTAAATATATATAGAAATTATAAAATGCAACTATTATAAAATTACTAATGAATAATTAATTTTAATTGTTCTAAGCATTCCTTATTAAAATGTAATGCTAGTATTAAATTTCTATAAAGAACGATATTGATCTTGGAATAGTAAATAAAATTTTTAAAATATATTAATGCTAAATATAAATTATTACTCTGCAAATAAATTATTGTAACAAGACGCATAAAATTTATTATCATAAAAATGCTAGATTATATTAATTACTTAATTACTTCTTATTTTACAGACAAAGAGGAAGAATTGTGCAATCATAATTAAATCGATATAACACAATTTCAATTTAAATTGAATTTAGATTATTGAATCAAAGACATTTAGATTATCAAATCAAAGTTGTAATCTAAACTATTTTGCAAATTAGATTTTTATTTGTTTTATGTGCTATATATACTGTTATAGTGTAAAAACCTTATAATATAAAATACCGCCTTATTCTTTTCTGAAATAAAAATTATAAAAATTTTTTTTTCCTTTTCTTTTACTGAAGATCTTAGTATAAAAATTAAACTCTGAATAATTGAAGCAACATTAATATGTTTTTTCTAATACTTTTTACTTTTCATGATACTAAAAACAAGAAAAATAAATTTTTAGCAAGTTCTTATGTTTTAACAAATCTTCACAAGCATGTTTTACAAAATTTGATTATTAAAATATGTTATCAACAAGATTCTTATAATTGAAAATTAATATCTTATATCGATGTAAAATATAATAATAATTTATTAAATTAGTTGCAGATAATTATAATAATTTATTATGCTTACCAAGAAAGGTACATTTGGAACATTGACTATATCTTCTATAGGATCACCGACTGACATTTCGGGAACATAAACTATCGTCCTTTTGGGAGCGTAACTCATAGTGTTGTTATCGTTAAATGTAATATTTTCGTTTACAAGAAATTCTCTGAAAAATTATAGAAAATATTTCCGGTTTATGCTTATATTATTGTGCTAAAGGAATTATTATTTTTATAAGAGGTATTTAGATTATGTTATATATAAATTATTGTATTTACAATATGTTTGCATGCAAAAGTAATATCTTGTATATAATAATAAAGAAAAATAGGGTAAATATCGACAATAGGGGACCCAGCTCCAATGACATTAACATATCCGATGACACATGTTATTGTCAAGATTATGACTCTGAGTAATTTCCAGATGGTTTCAGTTGGTACTTGTTTTTGGTTAAAGAAATTATTAATAAAAAATATTAATTACTCTCTCTGGTTTTTCACGCAAAGCGACTTCCACCTTATCTTTTCCCTCTGCTTAAGGGATGCTAGAGTCGCTCCAGCATTCCTTAAGGACACGCGATTTCCACATGAAGCGACTTTCATCCCATCTCCTTCTCTGCCCTTCAGGAGTATAACTTTCTACGTAAAGCAAAATCCACTCTACCTTTGGTACCTACCAAGGACTTTGCGAGGAAAGTCATATGCTTCTAGGCAGGGGGGAGAGAAGATGGGATGAAAATTGCTTCGCATGGAAAGTTGTACGCAAAGGAGCAGGTGGGGCGGATCTCGCTTCGCGTAGAAAATCGAAGACCTATATGAAATAGTACAATTATATTACTATTTAAAATAACGGAGAGGATAATTAACATTTTTTTGTTAATAACTTTTAAACGAAGGACGAGCATCAACTGAAATCATTTAGAGGTCACTCAAGGTCATGATCTTGACAATATATGTTGAGTTCAAGGTTTGAGCTGGATTTTTTATTGTTAATGTTTACCGAAAATAATATAAAACATACTTACTGATATACATATGGCCCAATTTCTTGAAGTTTAATCTTCTCTTTACCACTTAGAAATTCTATTGGATTGGTAATATTAAATATGTATATGTTTAAATAAATATCAAGATTTGGTTCCTTCCATATGTTGAAGAGAAGTGAATGAGGCCTCATTTGCATATTCTGTAAAAATAGTTTCTAAATCAATATATTTTAGCAGATAAAATATGTATAACTTATAATAATTTGCATATGTAATTTATGAAAACATTATTTTAATTATTAATAAAAAGATTATTTCTCTGACAAACTTAATGATTTACTGTATAATGATTAACTATATACTGAATTTAGTATATAATGATAAACTATATACTGAATTAAATAATGATTTACTATATAATGTTATACATTATTAATAACATTTTAGAGATTGTTTGAAAAATTTTATTAAACTTTTAAATTTTCAGATTTATATTTACATATATCTGCACATGTACATTTTTAATAAACCTCGATATCTCTGTTTATAAGCTTACTGATGTAATCTAATCTCTCTTATAACAGCGAGTTTAATATAACATTTTATTATTGAATAGAGTTATATAAATTAAAGATAAATAATTTTAATATAGAAAATTGTTTCTAAAGATAAATCTCTGTTCCCAAGTGGGAACAGAATACCACAAACCAGCATTGACTCCTGGCAACGTACCGATTATGTACTGAAAAACGGATTTCGCTTTTCAGTACTAGTTTCTATATTGGGCCAGTATTAAATAAACAACATTATGGTACTCTTCCAGCGTGTGAATCGGTATTGAATAATAATACCGAGCTAGTATATTATTAGTAGATTTTCGGTATGATATCTGTATAGAAATTAATAAAGAAATGTCTTTACATATCAGTACAGGAACAGTATATTAACGATATATCATCGATATTATATTCGTACTGAAATTGACAGAAGAAGTATGTCAAGCGACAATACCGAACCAGTACATTGCTGGTAGATTTTCAGTACCGCATCTATATTGAAATTGTCAAAAGTAACGTATCGGGTGTCAGCATTGAAACGGTAAATTGCCAGCGGATTATCTGTGCCATATTTGTATAGAAATTGGTGAATTGAACTCGTCCTTTGTCTCCTAGTAACCAAAATTTTATTAAACGAACTATAATCTCTGAATTACATGTATAAAA